TAGTTGGTGTTGATCATATGTGTGTTTGGCTGGTTTGTTGAATTTTATTGTTTCTTTGTTCTTCGTGCTATTGATACAGGAAGTGTTGGTCGACTAGTTTGCATTGCTAGTTGAGTGTTTGGCTGGTTTGTTGGTCAAGTAAGTTTTATGAGACTAACATTCTTGCGCTTCGATTTAGCTTGTCACCTCTATCTGCATAAATTTTGACTCAAGCTTTCTGTACTATTATATGTTGGTCGAGCAGTGTTAGTCGGTAAATAGAAATAAGGAAATTGAACATCTAAAAAACAAACTTACCCGCTAGGATAATTATAAGCATTCTGGTTTTAAAATAATTTAAGTTGATTGTATTATGTCAATTCATTTTCTTTATCATGTTTCACTTTATATTTACAATATTTTTTATGATTTCTCTAGAGTTTTTAAATTTAATTCACTCATTAAATTCCATTTTTTCATTATATTATCTAAATTCGTTTTTTTTTTCATGTTTCACTTTATATTTAAAATATTTTTTATGATTTTATTAAAATTTCAAAATTCAATTCACTAATTAAATTTGATTTCTTCATATTAAATTATTTTAATTTTTTTATGTGAAATCATTTTTTTAATCATATTTCATTATTTATTAAAACTCATACCCATTTTAGTTATTTTACAACTAAACTTACTTTTACTCAATCATAATCCAAACAACTTTTTACCAATCTCACTTTTACAAACCAGTTTTTCTAAACTCCAATCCAAATACAATTTAGCTTATCCAATTTAATTTTTATCCAACTTTACTTTTTCAAAAGTTAAATTGACAATAAGCTACTTATCCAATCATTAATCCAAACCGGCACATTAGGGGTGCTTGAGAGGGCTATGAAAGGATCTAATATGGGACCAAAAGCTGGCAGTAAACATGGCTTTTGGAGAAGCTAATTTTAGGAGCTTATAGCGGTGGAAAAATGAAGAGAGAGAGACAAAATGTGAATCCCATTTTTGTGTTTCAGAAGAGGAAAAAAGCATATTTTTGTGTTATGATCTGAATTCTGATAAAAAAAAAAAGAGTACAAATGGTAAGTGTGTATTAGTTATCAATTCACGTCTCTTTCTTTTCTTTTATTTTTTTAAAAATTAATTCACTCATTAAAATTCAGTTCTTCATATTAATTTAATTTAAATTCATTGTATTATGAAAAGACCTCTTTTTAATACATAATTATAAAACCATTTTTAAGATGATAACTATGGTAGAAAAAGAATTGAGTTAGAGTGTTAAAATACTACTATGGTCATAAAGAGTTTGTTTTATTTTGAAAACATCTCAAGAGGCTTAGGATACATAAAACACCCATAAATTTAACCACACGTACCACAAGGACTCAAGACACAGTAACCGCCTACAAGCCTAATATAAACATTCATCCCACAAAGACTTAGGACACAAGAAACACAAGATGCTCACCACAGTCATACACAGAAGAGCAACACAAACGATAGAATCGTATGGCCTCCAACTATTCTAATAGCATTGCATCAAATACAGTCATCAACTCAACAAAGGAAAGTATATGTCAATAAAATTATGGGCCCTAAGATAGCAATATACATAACATTACATACTCAAACCAAAAGAGGACTACTAGGCTATACTCGCCTATGCCTCTGGTTGTTTCCCTTCACGCCGAGCCAAACTAGATGGCTCTTCTGAAAAGCATCGATGAATAGTGTGGGGAGACATAAAGTCTTAGTAACCAGGTATTAATTTATGACATATATAAGTAGGATGGCAAGTTGGTGAAATTGTGCTTAAATATAATTTAAGTAATAAATGGTAATTTAATAGATACAATCACAAAAAAGGAGTATATCTCATCATCCACAACACGATTCATATAAAAGTACATATATACAATAACAATGAAATATGCCCTCTTATCACCTTACTCCTCCATATGATTTCTTAATAAGGACCCGAGCTTTCTGTGCTAAGTAACCCGATCAAAAGTTACCTCACTTACATCAAGCAACGGGCCCCTTTCTATACCTACATCGCCCAAGAATGGGTTATGGTTCAAGAGGTATCTACCCAAGAGTTTGTTCTCAATTCCAAGCCAAGGAAAAGGAAGAACTACAGGAGTCTAACAAAAAGCCAAACACTAAGATCAGTAGTGTAGGCATGCCGCGTGAGCTTCAAGAACAATTATTCTCCACATAACAAAATCCTAACATCCACATATGAACCCCATGCATAGTCACAATATATATTAAAAATATCATAGTTCTTTAAAATGAGGTGTGATAATTTCAAACGAAATACAACATATTTTTATTTTATTTAATAACATAATATTAGTATATTAAATTCAACACCACAAGAAAAATAATTTCAAATAAGACACAATTCAGAATAATTAAATCAATATACTTCCCACTTTACCAAAATTTATCATATAAGAAAATACATACTTTATTCACAAGCATACTTTGACAAATTAATTTGAAAAAATAAAAACATAACAAACACCTTACAATCCAAAGCATGTATACAAAATAAATTAACCCCGGTTACCTCTACTGTAAGCTTAACCTTACAGCTTAAAAAATAAGAGCACAAATTACAAACTTTGAAATACAAAATAATCTACAAATAATGTAGATACAATTTAATATACATACAAATAAATAACCTAAATTACATAGGATTTATTATTATTATATATACGTATATTTACTACCCAAAAATTCTTACTTCAAATAACAATTTTTTCTCTACCCCAATAACTCATGTAAATTATAAAAAAAAAAATTCTTTTTATCTAACATTGTAAGAATCCAATTTATAATTTAAGTTTCCAGCTTAAAAATTTTTCTAATAATATATCTTTAACCTATTTTACATTTTAAACCGATTAAAATATTAATAATATATTAAGTAACCCAAATAAGTTATTTAACTTAAATTTAATCGGTAAAAACGTTCTATATATCTTGAATAATATATTTTCTAACTAAAATTTTAGTTTAAAATTCTCAAAACAATAAATAAATAAATATAAATTGATTAAAATTTCAATAATATATCAAAAAATTCAAATAAATTATTTAACTTAATTTTTATCGGTATAAATATGATATATATTATAAATGACAAATTTTTTAACAAAATAAATTTGATTGTAAATATTATCAATAACAAATAGACAAATCTAAATCGATTAAAATTTCTTAATAATGTATCTTTAAATTTCTATAGTCAGATATTGTCAAAACTCAATATTTATTTCATACTCAAATCGCAAAATTTTTTCTAAATATTATAATGATACTACTAATATAAAGCTCTAAATATATAGAAAATGTTTATAAAATTTTTTTAATAAAACATATTTTTATGTACCTATATGATCCCTAAAACTTGTATTACCCTTCAAACTGCTAGCACTTCTCTGCCTTTCTCTCTATCTCTCTTTCTGCGCCTCTTTCTTTCTCTTCTTTGCCAATACCTCTCCTCTTCTATTTAATTTTTAACCTCAACTGTCCATCCCCATTTTTCCCTTTTGTCATTAAATGGCACCCCTCCCCCAAAATTCTTCTCCTTCTTAAATGACACTCTTTTTCCACCGAATTCGGTGGGAAAAGCCGGGGTGTTTTTTTAAAAATAAAATATTATTTTATATCATTTAATTAATATATATTTTAATTAATTTAATTTTTTAATAATATTTGGAATGTTATAGCTTATGTAAAATTATTTTTTTAATCATGTTTTATTATTTATTAAAACTTATACTTATTTTGGTAATTTTACAAACACACTTATTCTTATTCAATCATCATCTAAACTATGTTTTATCAGTCTTACTTTTATAAACTAACTTTTTAAAATTCTAATCTAAATATAATTCACCTTACCTAATTTAAATTTTATCTAATTTTACTTTTTTAAAAGTCAGATTAGAAATAAGTTACTTTTTCACCGCCAATCCAAATGGACCCTTAGAAATTAGTGATAAGATTTCACGTTTTAAAGATAAAGAGAATTCAAAGCATAGTTATGTGAAAATGACATACTCTACTTTTTAACAAGAAAGATTAAATTATAAAGGTGATTAATTGGATTATACAGAAAAAGTAATTTAAAAAATTACACTCAAAACTTAAAATTTAGCTTTGAAATTCTGGTGTAAAATAAGAAGAGGGAATGAAAAAGAAAAGAGGAAAGAGGAGGCAAGGAAGAGGAAGATGAGGAAATTAAATCACAGAAGGGAAGCCAGGACAAAAAACTATATAATTGCAATATTCCAACATTTCCACTCTATTGTAATATGAAAATCTAGATCTATCCATACTAAAATAATAATAATAATGAAAATGATAATAATAAGTGAAGAAAAATCATATGGGGGTAACTTAAATTTTTTCTCAATTTTTGATTTGATACCTATATGTTTCTTCTTAATTAACTCATTTAATTTTACTTTTTTTTAAACTATATTAGTTCTTGTAATATTGTTCTATTAGTGTTTTTACTTTTTATGTAAGGATTAATAATGTTAATAGAAAAAAATGCATAGGCATCAAATTAAAAACTTATAAAAATATAGGTACCTCAAAAGTGGTTTTTTCGAACAAGTAATTCTAATAATAAAAATACTAAAATATCAATAAATCTAAATAAATTTTGAAATGATAATAAGTCTAAATAATTCAAATATCCTTGAAATAATATAAGAATAAAATTATTTTTTATCCCATATTTCATCAAATTTTTTTAAATAATTAAAAATGAGTTATAATTCTTTTTTTTCCCTCAAGGGCAAAAGCAAAAGAAAAGTAACAGGAGAAGAGTATGAAATCGAACGGTCTAAATTTTTTTAAAGAGTTTTTGAAAAATTATGAAAAAGGGAGATGGCCATGTTCCCAATTTGAGGCGCGAATCCCATCTTCATGTTTGGCCGGATCCCGCCTCCCTATTTCACAACTCGCAGTCAACCTTTCAGTTTCGAGGAGGGAGAGTTGAAGACACCGTCGTCTTCGAGAAGTTTCCAATCGCCTCAGGTACCCTCTCATCTCTTCTCTTGTCAAAATGTTTTTCTTTGTCTTAAACATGATTTTCTGCTGCTGCTAGGCAAATGGAGGATTTTAGTGTGGATGATCCCTCAAATCCCTTCGCCCGCTTCGCATTCACGTATGTACAAGTCGTTTGTCTCTCTGCTTCTTTGAGATATCAATATTCTTAGGAAAATAAAGAATCATTGCTCTTCTATCTGTAGAGGCAAAGTTGATCCATGGAAGCCGGGATTTGCTACCCGTACTGCACCATCCAGGCTAATACCTGTTAATAATAACTACAAAGCCAACATGCCTCCTCTTTCGAAGGGTGTGGTTAAGAAAAAGCGCGTGGGTGTAGCTAAGAAGAATGGTTTGGACAAGAAAAAGAGTGTGGGTGAGAAAAGGTCAAAACCCAAACCTCTTAGAGCTGATGAGAAAAAGAAGGATGCCTACAAAAGAAAAGCTCCTGATAACACTTGGAAGCCCCCACGATATGAGCCTCCTCTTATCCAAGAGAATCATGCTCATGACCCTTGGAGGGTGTTGGCTATATGCATGCTGCTAAATTGTACCACTGGAAAGCAGGTACAATTACACATCTCCCCTTTTTGCCATTTAATTTTGATTAGTGTTTTCCTTCGAATCTTAATGTCATTGATGTTTCCATGTGTTATGATATTTAAATTTGGACATATTTAATTCACACATGTAAGCTCATATGTGATAAGTCTATTTCAATTAATATCAGTTAAACTATCATTTCCTTAAATCTTCTAAAAAGATGAAGGCTCTTTTAGACTCGATGAGATCATAAATATCTCAATTATATGAAAGGTAATTTTCAAAGCATAGTAATGAAGAATATTTTTGTTTAGGGGACATAATGCCGGTACTATAATTACTCATAAAAGAGTTTTGTAATGCAGGTTAAAGGAATTATTTCAAATTTTTTTGATCTGTGTCCGGATGCACAAACATGCATTCAAGTTTCTTCTAATGTATTAGAAGAGGAAATTAGAAGTCTAGGTTTGCAACACAAAAGGACAGAACAGTTAAAACGCTTTTCTCGAGAGTATTTAGGAGAAAATTGGACGCATGTGCCCCAACTGCATGGTGTTGGCAGGTAAGTTGGATGATGCCACTGGCTTTCTCCCTTATTTTTCATATATTTCACCTAGTTTTATCTAATTGATGCTATCCTAACTAACGTCAAGTCTATTTCGATCAGGTATGCAGCTGATGCATATGCGATATTTTGTACTGGGATGTGGAATGATGTGGAGCCGAAGGATCATATGCTAACTCGTTATTGGGAGTTTCTTCGGGGAACCAGAGGCAATTGATGGAGTGCTTTGTTTTTTGGGAAGACACCTGCGATTATTTTGAGGCAAGTAAATGGTAGAAAAGATTAACCTTTAGGATTCCCATATGACGTGTTACTCATCGGCATTGCAAGGTCTTATTTCGTTTTCCAAGTTACTGATCCTGATCTTTAATGGCAAGTCTTTCATGAGTTGAATTGGTTGTTTTAAGTTGTTTCAAATCTTTTGACTGTGTTTTATTTAAATGCTACTCCCTCCGTTCCTTATTATAAGAGACAAATAACCGAATTACGTTGATCAAAAAAGCAGTTAAAATTAGTTAAGAACAATCAATGTGTAAAAAATATAATTTTTTTCCCAAAAATGCCCTCATTAATAAGGAGAGAGAGCATGAGAGAGAACAATTAAATTATTAAAAGAAAAAGAAGTAGGAGGGAGAGAGAGTGTGAGTTGGAGACAATAAATATGGATAAAATAGGAAATCAACACAAAAAAGTAGAGACAACTTTTAAGTGTCTCTTATATATAGGAACATGCAATAAGCATCAAATGTCTCTTATAATAAGGAACGGAGGGAGTAATATTTTAGATGACGAGCTGTGGGATTAGGTATTTTAATGTATGTTTGTTAATCAACTGAAGACAGTCTCATATCATCTGAAAATGATATAACCACATCCTGAGATAGATAGAATAATGAATCCAGATGATGAGGCAAGCAAATGAGAACTTATAGCTTGTTATCTACTGAGTTTTTCTTCTCCACATTGGATATATTTCCCAATAGCTGCTTGAGGTTGATTAACATTTCAAGTGTTTACTCTGTCTTTCAAAATTCGCAAATCTTCTTAGGACTAGTTAGATGATGATAGAGCTGAAGCAAGCACAAGATTCTACTTCTGTACATGCTAACCATTTCCAGGACTCAGGCTTTTTTACAGAACACTTCCTTTCAATGACTATGTTATCGGCTCCCTCTATGCATAGAAGAAAGTGATATTTTAGTTTAGGGTATAGATTTAAATTCTAGGACTAGAGTTTCATTTGGATATATAAATATTAGGTGTCTCTTTTCTAGTTTCAAGCATGTCCTTAATCTGGCTCTAGACTTTTATACTAAGTTTTGGAGGACCAAGGAGCATATCAGCCTTCTCGTCCTTGCTGTTGTTTAATTATGATAGGTTTACTAATGGCTCTTTGTTATGATGCAAAGTGTTACAGGTCGACGTTGCTATGGTTTTGAAGCTTAGATTGTTGACGTGGAGATCCTTTATTGACAAATGAAAGTGGGAAGTCTGGGAGAATTGTAACTTGGTTCATGTAAAGCTTATGTTTTTTGCAAGGAACAAAAAACCGGACCGGACATCAAACCGGTCGAGATAGCGGGTCAAGGGTTACTGGTCGAACCGAGGTTGAACCGGGGTCGGACCGGTCATATTAAAATAATATAATTAATTCATAATATTAAAATAAAACAAAATTCATAAATAATAATCACTAAAAAAAGATGAGAAGCTACAAAAGTAGTAGTTTAAATATTTAATAGTACGAAGCAAACATTAATGAAATGTATATCTTAACTAGGGAAAATCAAAATCATCACTAAAATCATTTGCATGGGCTGAGATGTCAATAGCTGGACAAGGAAAAGCAGGAGCAACAACATCATCTTGTAAAGGTGGAGGGTCAGCAATGTTCATATCTTCATCACCTATATAAGACAGTAACCAACATTAAAGATTATACAAATAACTATATATTGGTATAAAAATAGTCTTAATTAAATATATAAACCTTCATTAGCACTCTCAAGAGTTGTTGAATTAGCAGTGCCGTCATTGTTAAGGACGTTTTCCAATGTATCCACATCTCTATCATCAAACTCCGGAGTGGGATCTTCTTCAGCCACCCAAAAATCCACCATATCAATGTTTTCATAGTCAATTGGATCATAACTTTTGCTCTTCTTCAATGTACTCCTTTAATGACAAACAAAATATTAGATAAATATAAATCAATTAAAAAAAAAACTAAAGTTATTCACTGTTTCCAAGATTACCTATGCTTCAATCGCAGATTATAATTGGTGAAAACCAAATCATTCAGTCTTTTATGTCCCAATCTGTTTCTTCTTTTCGTATGAATTCTTTCAAATAAGCTCCAATTCCTCTCACAACCAGAAGAAGCAGAAGTTTGACTAAGAATGCGCATTGCAACACGCTGCAATTCTGGAACTGAACAACCATAATATGTCCACCATTCATCTACATAATAAAATATATTAGTATCCAATACTATATAGAATTAGTGAATAATCATGAATACAATAAATAATAATAATACTTACAGGGGTCTAGTTTTTGAGCAGCTTTTTGACATGAAGGCCTGCTAAAAGATTCCTTGCCTTCGCGATAAGTAGTCGCTTGTTTCATCACTAGGAAGCCATCAATATCTTCATCTGAGTAAGACTCAACCACATCAATCAAAGCCATCATTAACTTTGACTTGCTAGGACAATCTGGACCATATGTAATTGCAGGATTCAACAAATACGATGCCGCATGAAGATTGGTCTTCAGATGTCTATCCCATCGAGTTTGAATGATTCTTGTGTAAGGCTTATACAATTCCTTGTTCTTCTTAAACATCTCCTTAATTGCTATTTTTGCCCTTCTCATCCCCTCATAAACGTAAGGCAATGAAGGCTTCTCATCTGAGTCCACAATTCTCAATAATTTGATGAGAGGAGATACAATCTTCACAACTTGATAACAGTCATTCCAAAACCGGTTATCTAAAATGATTGCACTAAAATTTTTCCCTGCCTCAGTCTTTGATAATCTATGGTCCACAAAATGCTTATCAACAACCAGAGCCTGCAAGTCATTTTTATGCATATATATGCTGTGCAATGTAATAAATGTCGTAGCAAATCTTGTGGCACCAGGACGCACTATTTCTTTCCAACTCGGTCTCCTCCTCAACCATGATAAGAAAACCATATGATTATATGCAAAGATAGTTACCTTGGATGCCTTTGATGCGAGGTCTGACACATTTGGCATGCTGGAAAAGTCTTTTAATATAAGATTCAGACAATGAGCAGCACAAGGTGACCAATAAATATTTTTATACTTTTCTTTAATCAACCTGCCACATGCTACATAGTTAGCTGCATTGTCAGTTACTACATGGACAATATTCTTAGGACCAATCCACTCAATGACTTCACAGAATAGAGTAAATAGAGTTTGGCATCTTTGACTAAATCTGAAGCATCAACAGACTTCACAAACACCATTCCGTGTGTAGAATACACTAAGAAATTTATCAAAGTACGTTGCCTCACATCGGTCCATCCATCAGCCATGAGTGTGCAGCCATTGTTTTTCCATTTAGCTCGATGGCTATCAATTAGTAACTGACATTCTTTTCTCCAATCACTCAGCAAATTGGTTTTGAAATCATAAGCACTAGGAGCTTTAAACCCAGGCCCAATTGAAGCAATACCATCTACAGCTTTTTGAAATAACGGGCAATCAAATGCTTTAAATGGAATGCAATTCACAATGGCCCACTCAGCAATCAACATTTTTACACTGTGTTTCGCTTCTTTGGTTGCTAATGCACTTTTAATACCCGGTTGAGAATCAGGGGTTGTGCGAGGAGCAAAATAATTATCCATACTCCCTATAGATTTTCTCTTTTTTGCACTACTCATGATAATTGGTGAATCAACATGAGTATCTTCAATTTCCTCTTCTATATTTTCAATGGCTTTTTTCTTTGAACACTCTTTCAAAGATTCTGTCATTCTATGACGTACATCATGCGAAACTTTTTTACAAGAAGATATTTGACCAGTGATACCAGCAAGGTGTTGCTTCATCCTATTTATTCCACCACCTCTATAACTATTACCACAAAAAAGGCAGGTGTATACATTTTGTGTCCCTTCTTTCTTATAAGCAACATGTGCCCATGCAGGATCAGTTTTTGCACGCAATGAAGAAATTGGTGTAGGAGGATTGGAAGTTTCAGTGTTGGGAGTGGAAGATTGAGTATTAGGAGTGACATTATCATTTCCAGAACTTTGATTATTTGAAATATCCATCACTGCTACCTCTTGAAAAGAAAACAAAATCCATATAAAATCAATTTAATCCAGAAACAGATGTACTAAGATGGCATATATGCAATGACATTGACATTCAGGAAAACATAATTCAGCTTATTAGTGATTAGTTTTTGACACTTTTGCAAAATCTTTCACTCTTATAAGGCTGAATAAAAAATCAACTCAAAAGTGTTATATTTTGATACAGGCATACAGCTAGTAAGCAGGCACACAGCTAGTAAGCATCACATCGCTGAATAAAAATCTAATTCATAACAAAACTAGTAAAACAACGAAGCTGCTGGCTGGAGACCCTATGACATTTAAAGCTAGTAAGCATCACATGCCTGAATAACAGAATAAGTCAATAAACAATTAAACATCAACATTGCAAACCCATATAAAGAACATATATTAGCCTTGAGGAACCGGGAATGACAGCGGCGGCAAACCCATAAATAACATCATTATCACGAATTCACAATATACGGATATAATCACAGCAAGACTCATTCAGCAAGACTCATTCACGATATAATCAGTAATCTCAGTAAAACAGCAAAATTCATTCAATAATAAATTACAAACCAAAATGACAGCGGCGGAATGAGGAACCGGAAAATATTAGCCTTGAGGAACCGGGAATGACAGCGGCGGCAAGGAGACGAGGTCACTCTCACTACTCACGAGCAGCAGGATGCGTATGCCAAAAAGCTTGGAGAGAGTGAGAGACAGACGAATTAGGAAATAGGATTAGAATTTCAGGGGTTTAGGGGTTTAGAGCATAAAGAGGAACGGGGGAGGCAGTATTGGAACTCATTCTAACCGTTTCAAGAAGAGGAGACTTGCGAGTTGCGAGCTCAGATGGTTGAGGGAGACCGGAGATCAGACTTGCGATGAGGTTGAGGGAGACCGGAGATCCGACTTGCGATTACTCTGGGATTTTGGAGCCTCGGAGGTGTGTCGGAGTCTCGGAGACCGTCGTGCCGTCAGTGACTCTAGCGAGCAGGGATCTTGGAGGAGGCGATTTGGTTTCAACGAGGGAGGCCGGAGGCGAGCTGCTGCGGTGCGATGGTCGGGGAGCTGGAAGAAGTGAAGAACCGAAGAAACGAGTGTAGAGAATAGAGATTCAGGGGAAATCACATAATGGGACTCGGCGGCAGAGGAGAAACTGAGAAAGGAAGGAAGGAAATTTTTTTTTTTTAATAAAAACGACGTCGTTTAGGTTATAATATCAGGCAAAAAAAAGGGAACCGGGTAACCCGCCAAACCGGGTTTACCCCGGTTCTGTACCGGTTCTGACCGGTTTAACCGGTTTTTTACCGGTTCGGTTCTCCCCCGGTTCAGCTAGTGAACCAGACCGGACTGCAGACCGGTTCACCGGTTTTCCGGTCGAACCGGCCGGTCCGGTCCGGTTTTTTTTTCATTGGTTTTTTGTGGTTGACTTAGAGAATGACTATTTAGTGGCCTTTATTAGACTTAAGTGTAATTTAAGGAGTGTTTGCCCGTGAACATCGATACTCCTATTCTGCCTCCTTTGCTTTAGTTGAAAACTCAATCTTATTTATTAGTTCAAATGTTTTTTCTGGTTTATGCTTTTGCCGGTTCAATGCAGTGTTTTGTGTCTTTCTTTTTCAGGCATTCATGTATAGTTGGCTTATTTTATTATTATTATTTTTTTGAAACATACAATATCTGTTGAACCGATGACTATATTTTTTCTAGGATGGTTTAAGTTTTGACTGTTTGAAATGGGTTTCTATTCCGTGATGATTTTTCAAACTATGTGTGTCATTTGCTTAAAAGCCATAAATTTGGGACTCTATGGGCCAATAATCTTATGTCGGCCACGACCAATTCTTTTTGGATGAAAAATGATGTGTTTGGCTGATGAAGTAGTCGTTTTCATTTTTAGTTCACCCTCCAGGTTCATTTGCACTTTGAAGTAGTTCAAGTTTCATGACGAAGCGCAAGCTTTTTCCGATATAGTTCTCCAATTTAGTTCGCAAGAATATTTTCTTGATTGCTCCCTAGCTTTTCTCCAAAAAAAAAAGAAGTCTCAATTGCCTCTCCCTCTTCTTTTCACAGACTTCTTACCCAATGTTTTAGTCCCTTTTTTAATCCTATTATCACTATTATTTGCATAAAGGAGAATCCTACAAAAAGGAGTTCTCAAATTAATTTTTTTTTGCCAAAATGTATTATTATTTGCTAGTTTAATGTTACTAAAATCTATTAAAATATTGTTATTACATCTGCTTTGGTATTAAAGTGCCATTACATTTAGTAATTTCAAATTTTTTGTTTTGAAGTTTTCCTTTGCTTTTTTCCGCAAAAAAATCATTTGAAAAATTGATTTAAATCAAATCTAATCTAAATTAATAAAAGCATAATCATACTCTTGGCATATGATGAACTTAATCACTGATAGCGATTTCAATGTCTTTGTTGCAGGTTATAATCACGGGCATCGAATTTAAAATTTAAATTTATGTTTAATTATTAGTGGCTAGAATTTTAATCGTGTGATACCATATTCAATAAAAAAATAAAAAAAGATATTAAAATACCCTTAAAAATACTAAAAGATCAATTAGAATGGGTGAATTTTAAAATTTCAAATCAGACTCCTTATATTATTTTTTAATTTTAAAATATTATGAAATGACAATATTGTTCTTATTATCAGTTATTACTTTCACATAGCTATTGACTATTCTAATTTCATTATTGACTACTTTTGCTTTCAAAATTCCGGTGATTACATTTGTATAAGTATTAACTACATAATAGTAATAAATAATTAAACAAAAAGTAGTCATTAGGTCTCTAACAACAATAAATGTATTTTTTTGATTTTTGAAACAAAATTAATCAATAGGGAAACTATAATAGTTAATAATTAAACAAGAATAGTTACCAAATTTTTAAAAATGAAAGTAATCAATTGCAATGCTAGAGTAGTCAGTAGCTAAACACGAGTAGTTATCAGAATTCTAAAAACAAATGTAATCAATAGCTAAAAAAATAGTCAATGCATAAAAAAGGATAGTTACTGGAGCTTCGAGAGCTAATCAGCTAAGTTCCTATGACAAATCGCTAGAGTTTCGACAGCAAGCCAATAGTAGGGTTGTCAACGCCTAAGCTCCGGTGGTCAGAAATTGGCTAAGGTGGCAATATTTAAAAAAAAAGAAATAGTGAAGGGCATTTGTGCAATTTTGTAAGATTTGAAAATTCCAAAATAGTAGTAGGTGTCTCAAGCAAAATTTTGAAATTCACCCATATTGATTTGTCCTGTAATAATTTTCAGGATATTTTATTGTTTTTTTCCCCCTAAAAACAATTTGGGAAAAGCTCTGAAAAATTTCTATTGTAAAGTTAATTGCATAAAGGACCAACTACTGAAGAACTTAGATTCATGAGTAGGAGTAATTTTTCTTTAATTGCATGCAACTTATATTAAGCTATTTGCTTTTCTTCTTTGGCCAATGTTTGGGTTCATTTAAACAATAAATTTTGTAACCTAGATTTCCAACCAAGTAGAATTAGAAAAAGTAATATTAAAATAAAGAATACTCGCACGTAACTTATCAAGATAAAAAAAACATGGTAAAATTTTTTTCATATTAAGTTCTGGTATCTCGGGATTTTATGAGAGTTTTTTCTTTTTTAGCTTCAGATATTGGTGTGTGGATCCTATTACTTTTTTGGTAATTAATAAAATTAACTTCTTTTTAGCCAAAAGAAAACTCTTTTTTCACGGACTCTCTAAATAATGAGCCTATCACTCCCATAAAATTCAACTGTATTTTTATTTATTTCATGGTCTTATTTTATTCCAAATTATCATAATTTCAATTACTGGGACTAAATAATCTCTTAGACTCTTATTCAATATATTTATAGATTAAAAAAATAAAATTTTTTTTTGAAAGTACCTCTACGTTTTTTAATTTTTAATTTTGTACCCAATATAACAAAATTACAAGAGATAATGTTACTGTATAAGTAAAATTACATAATTTAATTAAGAAAAAACACATAGGTACCACATTAAAAATTGAGAAAAAGTATAAATACTTCTAATATGATTGTTCTCAAAATAAGTATAAAAATAAAAATTTCCTCTCTCAGTCAAGTCTGCAGTTACTAACTCTGTTTCTTGTAGGAGAATCCTAAGATCCTAACCAAGATGATGATGATGAGGCTCTGCTCAGAAAGTTTGAAGAATACTAACTCAAAAGGAGTCACAGACCACCTTCATACTACACAACAGGAATTTATGATTCTGATGCTGACAACTCTGACCCAGAAAATGTCATAAACCTATCCCCAAGTTATGAACCCATATGCAAAAGCTTACGATCAGCATAATTATCAAGATATCTGCTTTGTGTCATATCAAAAGATAAGGAGGACTCGTTAGGAATTTGCTTTATGTGATATGTCTACTTTAACTTTACCTTTATTAAAGTAGTTCATCTTGTTATAGTAATTAAAATAGTTTGTCTTGTTGTAATAATTAAAAGGATCTTTGCCTTTATGTTATATTGTAATAATAATGTCTAGAATCTTTACTATTAGGTTTTGTCATGTTATGACCCAAAATCTCTATATAAATCATGCTTTGCTCATAATTAAAGGCAGAAGGAGTTGTAATAACTTCCTTGTATAATATTAGTGTGCTTTTCTCATGACTTTTCTCTAAATTCTTCTCTTCTTCTGAAAGCCTCATTTATAATACTTTTCTTCTGTCATCAGAAATTCTGAGTATGTCCTGCACTTGCCTCTTTCAGAGGATCCTGTGCATCAAAAATAGAATCTGACCATGATTCATTAAGGTGTATTTAGTAATGACTTTCCTAGTTATCTTAGATATGGTATTCAAAGATGAGAGTTCTAACATGGCATGTTAATGAGTTGAAAATAAGTGGCTTTACCTGAACTAAAACTTTGAATATTAGACTACGTTAGCTTGGTTTGTTTTAACACACGTT